TTTGTTTAATAATTTAATAATGTTGCCCAGGTTGCTAGTGCAGCTCTAGGTCAACTGGTTTGTGTTGCGATTAAATAATTTGTATAACCCGGACGCTTTGGGGAAATGCTTATTCAAGAGGCTAAAAAATATTTTCCCTATATTAGTTCTTACTTGCATGTTGAAGGGTGGGATGGAACAGATAACATTCTTTGTTCTTTTTCTATTGTCATTTGTTCTTGAATTTACTTAGTCCTTGAAACACAGGTTCATATTGTGCAACTCTTTTTTTAATGTAGATACGCATTTTTATCATTTTTTTAATATTAAATATTTCTTCAGTTGAAGAAATTTTTGATAGTTTGCTTTGCGCGCCTAACAAGATATGTCTGATCACCCTTGACGGGTGGTTGGTTGCCGTCTTTGCGTATCTCAAAGCCGTATTAGGCGGCTTCATAAATGGGGAAATAGTTTCAGTCAACATGTTTAGCACTATGTCTAAAAAAATGGATTACTTTGCTGTTGATTTCCATTGTAATGTCGAAATCCAGCACATTAAACATCTTGTGTTGTTTTTATCTGATGGAATTGTTTGTTCTTTAATTATCCGGTACCACCATCAGTCCATCATCAAGGTATATTCCGTGGTCGTCGATGTGGACAATATTATTTATTTTGCTCAAAATGTACTTCAGACACCTCTGCCCTGTCGTATCATCCTTGGGGAACATCGAAATTACTAAGTTTTGATTTCTTTATCTATGCTTCACCACCATGAAATCGTACCGATTCACGGCAATGTAAGGTGATATTAATCTGTTCAGGCTTTAAACATACGAATTCCTTAACAAACAGCAAAGATGGCAATAAACTTTCTTTCTGTTATAGATGAATAGAAGTCCGTTATGTAGTATTTAATTCAGAGTTATATTATTTTATGATATTAAGTCGGTTTACAGGTACATTTTTTTTTTTACTAGCTTGATATTGAGCATTTTTAACACATACGAGTTTAAACAACTATTTTAGTGTTTATTTAATTCGATTCAGAAGTTAGTTAATGACAAACAATTCTTCAGAGGGTTCTGTATTTAAATGCCGTATATTTCCATTTTTTTCAGAATTTTTCCGCGTATATTTTAATCCGTTTTGTACACATGCTCATGAAGTTTGTGTTTTTTTACACGCGCACGTTAATGGATTTCTGCTTTGTTTATCTCTTTTACTTTTAATCCTCATAATGCTTTTTAGTTGTATTTTATTTTTTTTGGTTTTAAATTTTTCTTTGACATTAAATTTTTTTTATATATATTTTATATTGAAGTTGTTGTGGTGCGTTATATCATTAATTAAGTTTAATAGTATTTATTAATGTGTATTATTAATGACATTCATTAATTATAATATTAGTTAAATAACTATATTTAATGCTGCATTTGATGTATTATCTTAATATTAAAATAACAATAATTATTTGTTATTATATCGGCATCAACCAATTATCTAATTCATGTTATTTAATAATTTAGTTTTATTATTAAAAGTTAATATTACTGATTTTTATTCTAATTAATCTACAATATTTTTGGTGATATTATATGGGGTACATTTTTAAAAAATTTCCTATTACCTTTCAGTAGGTATATTATTTCTTTTTGACTCCATACAGATTTTGATAACGATGTACGATTTCCGTATTTATTTTAAATGACATCATATGATTATTAAATCTTTAAAATTTGTTTCGGTTGCTCCTGTGTAAATTTATTCTTCTGTGTTAATATTATTTAATCATTTTATTTATCCATTCATTTATGATCCATTTAGTTTACATTATATCTTACTGTTCTTTATATATATATATATATATATATATATATATATATATATATATATATATATATATATATATAAAGAAAGAACAGTAAGATATATAATCCGGTGTTCGTATAGGTATTTTTATTTTTACAAAATAGTGCTCGATGTAAATTTACAGAGCATTAATATTATAAATTAATTGATTTAAAATATGTTTTTCCGTTACACAGTTCTAACCATGTTTCAAAAAATGGAAACTAAAGCCAGAATTTAATTTGCAATTAAATTAAAGACATTAGTTCCATTTCATCCTCAAGCGAATTTTGAAATAACATTTAAAATTACTGGTTTTAAAGACACAGCTAAAATCACGTTTCCAAGGTTACAGATAAATCTACTTCAACTGGACAAGGGGTGTCTGGGTTTTCTTTATGTCTGCATCATTGTATCGGTTATTAGCTACATTATGGTAAGGGGTAGGGGTGTATTTTCAATGAAAACTGACATCCGTTGAATGCATGTCGTCTGGATTTTTTTAAAATTTATTGTTAACGGCAAAAAAATTCTCACGGCATTTTTTCTATTTGTAAATTTAAAGATTTTCGCGGGTGTTCAGATTAGAATACTTTTTATTTAACTACGATTTGAAATATTCTCATTTTTAATTTTTATTATACTATAATTTTTTTTTAAGAACAGTTAAATGTATTAGAATCCCTTATATTATGTAGGATTATTTTTACATCAAGTATAAGTATTTATATTAGGTTACATTTTATTTTATTTTATTTTTTTTTTTATTATTTATAAAATTTATATATATATATATATATATATATATATAAATACGCAAATTCGGGTTTACAGTACTGTTGTCATTTCCGTCCTTTTGTAAGGTCCAGAGTCGTGGACTGCATGCAGGTACCATATATGCCAGCAGGATGCTTTCCGTAAGAGCTGACTGCGTGGCATCTGTGGAGTTAGACTTCAAGACAGGGCATCTAATGTAGACCTGCTTAACAGGTGTAATATTGGAGGAATCGAGACTTTCCTCATACGATCTAAGTTGCGGTGGACTGGTCACGTCTTGAGAATGTCTGATGACAGGATAACCAAGATACTTATGTACAGCCACCTAGATCAGGGCTACAGGAATGTAGGATGCTCATGGCTTAGATACAAAGACAAGCTGATTAGCATCTTGTCAGCTATCAATATACCTCATAACTACCTCGAGCACTTAGCCTTGGAGCGGGTAGAATGGAGATCAACGTGTTTTAGTGGACTGAAAGGTTTTCAGTCTGCTAGTCTGAATCGGCTTCAGGAAGCGAGAGCAAGATCTAAAAGTTCAGACAATCTAACAATGACCTCCTCCCACAATCCTCACATGTGTTCCATATGCAGCTTCTTTTGTAAATCATTACGGGGCTTAGTGTTATTTATTATCGCACAAAATTCATAACTGAATCAATTGGTTAATTTGTCAGATATTCATACGTCGAAACCAACGGAGAGTCCATTATATATATATATATATATATATATATATATATATATATACTTATTTAGAATGCTTTAAAACGTTTATTTTAAATGCTAAATATATATATATATATATATATATATATATATATATTGAAATAACATATATAACCCCCGTATAAACATAAATAATAATATTTAATAAAAATATCTGGTTACTGCAATGTTGGCACGAACATTGCGGTTACCAAATATTTTTATTAAAATTTTAATTACGTAAAGGTCAGTCTATACACAGCACCTGAAGATTGCGTTGTGCCTGAAACTCCGAGGCGTGCTACCACTGAGGGATAATATGTATATTTATTAATATATACTTAATAGAGGGAGAGAAAGAAAAAAAGAAAGTCTGTCATGGATGACGTGAATGAATGGACTTTCTTTTTTTCTCTCTTCATAATTTGTGTTCCCCGTTAACAGTTTTGATGAGAGGGGACTAAACTGGTCGAGACTGGTGTGTTCGTTTTATCTTAAATCTATCATGGCCTATAATAAAACATTTTTGCTTTTTATGCCATAATACGTTTCTGTACTGTTTCAAACTTCAATGCCCACTTACACACACACACACACACACACACACACACACATATATATATATATATATATATATATATATATATATATATATATATATATATATATATAATCTAAAATATTACAAAAACTAACATTTTCCGTTACCTAGTTTTCTATAAATGTAGGTTGCTCCACTAGTGAAAAAGTCAATTGTTTTCTGCCACTTTATTAAAAATATATTGAACACTTATATATATATATATATATATATATATATATATATATATATATATGCGCGCATGAGGGATGGTGAAAATCTTCAACCTGGATCCATTTACAAAAGTCTGAAGAAATGGACCAAGCAAAGAATTTCCAATGGAAGCGATTTTAGTCTGAGGAAATATTTTACTTAATCCTATGTATATATAAATATATTCAGAAAGAACACAGGGATAGAGACAGAAACAGAGGGGAGATAGATAGATAGATAGATAGATAGAGAGAGAGAGAGAGAGAGAGAGAGAGAGAGAGAGAGAGACAGAGAGACTGAGAGAGGAAGGAAGGCATAGAAGCAGAAATAAGTTTTTAGATGTTTGCATATGATCTTTTGCAAATCCTGCATTGAAAATTGTTCTAATCAGAACGTGTTTAAAATCCGATTACCGAAACATCAGCCACACGAGGTCAATGACAAGGATGGAATCCAATATATTTGTTTATATGCAATCTGGATTTTATTTCTCTTTCCTCTTCTTTCTTTATTCTCCTTTTCACGTCGTTTCAAAGCAATATTCAATTTTCATGTTTACCTTTTCGTATTTCTCAACTTTGTCTATCCCTCTTCGTAATACTTGCTGTGGCCTTTCTGTCATTACTCATCTCTTTTGTTTGTTTATTTTACACCTGTACATATTCTCTTTACTCCCCTGGATTTTTTCGCCTCAATTACGCATTGATATTTTTTGTCTCTTATTCTTTATCGTTTTCCGATTTATAGTCTTTTATTTTTATCTTTGTTATATTTACTCTTCATCGATTCTTTCATAAGTTTAACTTTTAAATCATTTTTTTTTACGTCATTTTTTTATTGTACTTTTTCCCATTCATCATTTTACTCCCTCATCATTTCTTTTTTACACCTCATGGCATTTGTTTTACTCTTCATCGATTCCATCCTCATCATTTTTTTTTTTTTACTCTTCATCGATTCTTTTACCATTCATCAGTTTTTTTTTACTCCTCATATTTCTTTTTTCATGGCATTTGTTTTTCCTTCATTCTTTTCCATTCATCCACTCCCATTCATTTGTTTTACTCTTTCTTTTCACCATTTTTTTTTTTTACTCTCATCATACCCCTCATGGCATTTGTTTTACTCTTCATCATTCATGTTTTCCTTTTTCCTCATCATTTCTTTTTACACCTCATGGCATTTGTTTTACTCTTCATCGATTCTTTTACACCATTCATCAGTTTTCCTTTTACTCCTCATCATTTATTTTTACACCTCATGGCATTTGTTTTACTCTTCATCGATTCTTTTACACCATTCATCAGTTTTCCTTTTACTCCTCATCATTTCTTTTTACACCTCATGGCATTTGTTTTACTCTTCATCGAATCTTTTCCACCATTCATCAGTTTTCCTTTTTTTTCACCATTCATCATTTGTTTTCGAATCTTTTCCACCATTCATCAGTTTTCCATTTCATTTTTTTAACCTCATGGCATTTGTTTTACTCTTCATCGATTCTTTTCCACCATTCATCAGTTTTCCTTTACTCTCTTTAATTTCTTTTTAACCTCATGGCATTTGTTTCATTTCTTCATCGATTCTTTTACACCATTCATCAGTTTTCCTTTTTCCTCTTCATTCTTTTTAACCTCATGGCATTTGTTTTTTTCCTTCATCGATTCTTTTTCCACCATCATTTATTTTTCATTTTTTTTCATGGCATTTGTTTTACTCTTCATTTCTTTTCATCGATTCATCAGTTTTCCTTTTATTCATCATTTCTTTTTTAACCCTCATGGCATTTTGTTTTACTCTTCATTTTCTTTTCCACCATTCATCAGTTTTCCTTTTTACTCCTCATTTCTTTTTTTAACCCTCATGGCATTTGTTTTTTTCATCTTTCTTTTACACCATTCATCAGTTTTTCCTTTTACTCCTCTTTCATTTCTTTTTAACCCTCATGGCATTTGTTTTACTCTTCATCGATTCTTTTCCACCATTCATCAGTTTTCTTTTACTCCTCTTCATTTCTTTTAACCCTCATGGCATTTGTTTCATCGAATCTTTTCCACCATTCATCAGTTTTTCTTTACCCTCTCTTCATTTCTTTTTTTTTAACCCGATTTTTTTTACTCTTCATCGATTCTTTTCATCAGTTTTCCTTTACTCCTCATCATTTTTTTTAACCCTCATGGCATTTGTTTTACTCTCTTCATTTCTTTTCCACCATTCATCAGTTTTTCCTTTACCTCTTCATTTATTTTTAACCTCATTTGGCATTTGTTTTACTTTCATCGATTCTTTTTACATTTTCTTTTTTTTACACCCATGGCATTTCATCATCGATTCTTTTTTTTCATCAGTTTTCCTTTTTTTCCTTTATTTCTTTTTTAACCCTCATCATTTATTTTTCTTCATCGAATCTTTCCACCATTCATCAGTTTTTTTTTACTCTCTTCATTTCTTTTTTAACTCCCCATGGCATTTGTTTTACTTTCTTCATCGATTCTTTTTACACCATTCATCAGTTTTCCTTTTTTTCTTTTTAAACCTCATCATTTGTTTTTCTTCATCGATTTTTTACACCATTCATCAGTTTTCTCCTCTTCATTTCTTTTTTTAACCCTCATGGCATTTGTTTTACTCTTCATCGAATCTTTTCACCATTCATCACTTTTTTCCTTTACACCATTCATCAGTTTTCCTTTTTACTCTCATCATTTTTTTTAACCCTCATGGCATTTGTTTTACTTCATCGATTCTTTTACACCATTCATCAGTTTTCCTTTTACTCATCTTCATTTTTTTAACCTCATGGCATTTGTTTTACTCTTCATCGATTCTTTTACACCATTCATCAGTTTTCCTTTTACTCCTCTTCATTTCTTTTTTCCACCATGGCATTTTGTTTTTACTCTTCATCGAATCTTTCCACCATTCATCAGTTTTCCTTTTACTCCTTTCATTTCTTTTTAACCCTCATGGCATTTGTTTTACTCTTCATCGATTCTTTACACCATCATCAGTTTTTCCTTTACTCCTCATCATTTTTTTTTTCCCTCATGGCATTTGTTTTTACTCTTCATCGATTCTTTCCACCATTCATCAGTTTTTGTTCCTCATCATTACCCTCATGGCATTTGTTTTGGCATTTGTTCTTCATCGAATCTTTTTCCACCATTCATCAGTTTTCCTTTTTACTCCTCTTCATTTTTTTTTTTCAACCTCTTTTTCATTCATCAGTTTTCTTTTTTTTCATCATGGTTTTTTTCTTTCGATCTTTTTCATCAGTTTTCCTTTTTAAATTCATTTTTTTGTTTTGGCATTTGTTTTACTCTTCATCGAATCTTTTACACCATTCATCAGTTTTTTTTAACCCCTCATGGCATTTGTTTTACTCTTCATCGAATCTTTTCCACCATTCATCAGTTTTCCTTTTACTCCTCTTCATTTCTTTTTAACCCTCATGGCATTTGTTTTACTCTTCATCGATTCTTTTACACCATTCATCAGTTTTCCTTTTACTCCTCTTCATTTCTTTTTACACCTCATGGCATTTGTTTTACTCTTCATCGATTCTTTTACACCATTCATCAGTTTTCCTTTTACTCCTCTTCATTTCTTTTTAACCCTCATGGCATTTGTTTTACTCTTCATCGAATCTTTTCCACCATTCATCAGTTTTCCTTTTCCTTTTTTCATTTCTTTTTTTTACACCCTCATGGCATTTGTTTTACTCTTCATCGAATCTTTTCCACCATTCATCAGTTTTCCTTTTACTCCTCTTCATTTCTTTTTAACCCTCATGGCATTTGTTTTACTCTTCATCGAATCTTTTCCACCATTCATCAGTTTTCCTTTTACTCCTCTTCATTTCTTTTTAACCCTCATGGCATTTGTTTTACTCTTCATCGATTCTTTTACACCATTCATCAGTTTTCCTTTACTCCTCTTCATTTCTTTTTTTAACCTCACCTGGCATTTGTTTTACTCTTCATCGATTCTTTTACACCATTTGTTTTTCCTCATCATTTCTTTTTTTAACCTCATAGCATTTGTTTTACTCTTCATCGATTCTTTTCCACCATTCATCAGTTTTTCTTTTCATTTTTTTCCTCATGGCATTTTTACTCTTCATCTTTTCTCCTTTTAACCTCATGGCATTTGTTTCATCGATTCTTTTACACCATTCATCAGTTTTCCTTTTTCTTTCACTTTTTTAACCTCATGGCATTTGTTTTACTCTTCATCGAATCTTTTCCACCATTTCAGTTTTCTCCTTTCATTTCTTTTTAACCTCATGGCATTTGTTTTACTCTTCATCGATTCTTTTACACCATTCATCAGTTTTCTTTTACTCCTCATCATTTTTTTTACCCTCATGGCATTTGTTTTTTTTCATCGTTTTCTTTTCACCATTCATCATGGCATTTGTTTTTTATTCCTCTTTCATTTGTTTTTTTTACTCCTCACCTGTTTCGAATTTTTCCACCATTCATCGTTTTTCCTTTTTACTCTCTTTCATTTCTTTTTCCTCATGGCATTTGTTTTACTCTTCATCGATTCTTTTACACCATTCATCAGTTTTATCATTTATTTTTCGAAAACCTGGCATTGTTTTTTTCATCGATTCTTTCATTCATCGATTCATCATTTCTTTTTACACCATGGCATTTGTTTTTCTTTCGATTCTTTTACACCATTCATCAGTTTTCATTTCATTTTTTTACACCTCATGGCATTTGTTTTACTCTTCATCGAATCTTTTCCACCATTCATCAGTTTTCCTTTTACTCCTCTTCATTTCTTTTTACACCTCATGGCATTTGTTTTACTCTTCATCGATTCTTTTAAACCATTCATCAGTTTTCCTTTTACTCCTCATCATTTATTTTTAAACCTCATGGCATTTGTTTTACTCTTCATCGAATCTTTTCCACCATTCATCAGTTTTCCTTTTACTCCTCTTCATTTTTTTAACCATCATTTTTTTACTCTTCATCGAATCTTTTTCCACCAGTTTTTTACTCCTTCATTTCTTTTTTTAACCCTCATCATTTGTTTTCTTTTATTCTTTACACCATTCATCTTCATTTATTTTTACTTCTTTCATCGATTCTTTTCCACCATTCATGGTTTTCCTTTTATCAGTTTTCCTTTCTTCATTTTTCTTTTTAACCTTTTCATGGCATTTGTTTTACCCTCATCATTTTTTTCATCGAATCTTTTTCCACCATTCATCAGTTTTCCTTTTTCTTCATTTTTTTTACTCATTTGTTTTGTTTCTTCTCTTTTACACCATTTCAGTTTTTTTACTCCTCACTTTTTTACACCTCATGGCATTTGTTTTACTCTTCATCGATTCTTTTTTTTACTTTACATCATTTCATTTTTTTAACCCTCATGGCATTTGTTTTACTCTTCATCGAATCTTTCCACCATTCATCAGTTTTCCTTTACTCCTCTTTTTCTTTTTTAACCCTCATGGCATTTGTTTTACTCTTCATCGAATCTTTTCCACCATTCATCAGTTTTCTTTTTTACTCCTCTTTTCATTTCTTTTTAACCCTCATGGCATTTGTTTTACTCTTCATTTCTTTTACACCATTCTTTTGGTTTCTTTTCCTCATTTGTTTTTTTAACCTCATGGCATTTGTTTTACTCTTCATCGAATCTTTTTACACCATTCATCAGTTTTCCTTTTTCCTCTTCATTTCTTTTAACCCTCATGGCATTTGTTTTACTCTTCATCGATTCTTTTACACCATTCATCAGTTTTCCTTTTACTCCTTTTTCATTTCTTTTTTTTACCCTCATGGCATTTGTTTTTTTCTTTTCACCATTCATCAGTTTTCTTTTTACTCCTCTTCATTTCTTTTTAACCCTCATCATTTGTTTTCTTTTTCATTCTTCAGTTTCCTTTTTCATTTCTTTTTTAACCCTTGCATTTGTTTTACTCTTCATTTGTTTTCCACCATTCATCAGTTTTCCTTTTCCACTTCTTTTTTTTTTCATGGCATTTGTTTTACTCTTTTCGATTCTTTTACACCATTTTCTTTTTCCTTTTACCTCATTTTTTTGCATTTGTTTTTTATCGATTCTTTTCATCGATCAGTTTTCCTTTTCTTTTCATTTTTTTTCCACCATTCATCAGTTTTCCTTTTTCTTTTACACCATTCATCAGTTTTCTTCATTTCATTTTTTAACCTCATGGCATTTGTTTTACTCTTCATCGATTCTTTTTACACCATTCATCAGTTTTCCTTTTTTTCCTTTTCATTTTTTTTTTACACCTCATGGCATTTGTTTTACTCTTCATTCTTTTTTCCACCATTCATCATTTTTTTTTTTAACCTCATGGCATTTGATTTTATCGCTTTCCTTTTACCTTCTTTTTCATCGATTCATTTGTTTTTTTTCGAACACCATTCATCAGTTTTCCTTTTACTCCTCTTCATTTTTTTTTACACCTCATGGCATTTGTTTTACTCTTCATCGATTCTTTTCACCATTCATCAGTTTTCCTTTTACTCCTCTTCATTTCTTTTTTTAACCCTCATGGCATTTTTTTTTTACATCTTTTCATTTTCTTTTTACACCATTCATCATTTTCCTTTACTCTCATCAATTTTCTTTTTACTTTTACCTCTTCATTTCATTTTTTTTTTGCATTTTTTACTCTTCATCGATTCTTTACACCATTTGTTTTCCTTTTCATCGATTTCTTTTTTACACCTCATGGCATTTGTTTTCATCGAATCTTTTACACCATTCATCAGTTTTCCTTTTACTCTTTCATTTCTTTTTTTAACCCTTCATTTGTTTTTTTCAGTTTTCCTCCTCTTCATTTCTTTTTAACCCTCATGGCATTTGTTTTACTCTTCATCGATTCTTTTCACCATTCATCAGTTTTCCTTTTATCTCTTCATTTCTTTTTAACCCTCATGGCATTTGTTTTACTCTTCATCGAATCTTTTCCACCATTCATCAGTTTTCCTTTTACTCCTCATCATTTCTTTTTTAACCATTCATGGCTTTTATTTGTTTTATTCTTCATCGAATTTTCCACCATTTTACTCCCACTTCATTCTTTTTAACCCTCATGGCATTTGTTTTCTTTTTCGAATCTTTTCCACCATTTCCTTTTACTCCTCTTTCATTTTCATTTGTTTTTCTTTTCGAATCTTTTCCACCATTCATCAGTTTTCTTTTACTCCTCTTCATTTCTTTTTAACCTCATGGCATTTGTTTTACTCTTCATCGATTCTTTTTACACCATTCATCAGTTTTCTTTTTTCCTTTTACTTTTTTTTCTTTTTACACCATTCTCAGTTTTCCTTTTTATTCCTCTTCATTTGTTTTTACACCCTCATGGCATTTGTTTTACTCTTCATCGATTCTTTTACACCATTCATCAGTTTTCCTTTTACTCCTCTTCATTTCGATTTTTAACCCTCATGGCATTTGTTTTTCTCTTCATTTATTCTTTTCCACCATTCATCAGTTTTCCTTTTTCCTCTTCATTTCTTTTAACCCTCATGGCATTTGTTTTACTCTTCATCGATTCTTTTACACCATTCATCAACTCCTCTTCATTTCTTTTTTAACCTCATTTTGTTTTTTTCATCGAATCTTTTTCCACCATTCATCATTTTTTTTACTCCTCTTCACTTTTTTAACCTCATGGCATTTGGCATTTGTTTTTACACCATTCATCAGTTTTTTCCTTTTACTCCTCTTCATTTATTTTTACACCTCATGGCATTTGTTTTACTCTTCATCGATTCTTTTTACACCATTCATCAGTTTTCCTTTACTCTTTCATCATTATTTTTTACCCTCATGGCATTTGTTTTACTCTTCATCGATTCTTTTACACCATTCATGTTTTCCTTTTACTCCCATCATTTTTTTTTTTACACCTCATGGCATTTGTTTTTTTTCATCGAATCTTTTCCACTATTCATCTTTTCTTTATATCCTCTTCATTTCTTTTTTAACATACCATTCATCGATTCTTTTTTCCTTTTCTTTTTCCTCATCATTTCTTTTTACCTCATGGCATTTATTTCATCGATTCTTTTACACCATTCATCAGTTTTTTTTTACTCCTCATCATTTCTTTTTACTCTTCATGATTTTTTTCTTTACTTCCGTTTCTTTTTTTAACACTCCACATTGTTATTCCTTTTACACTTATACTATATACATATAGTTAATACGAAGCACGTATAACCAATATTCAGTTTCCTTCAATGTAAATATTGAATTGCCCCTGTGACACGTTTCATCTTTTATATATAC